TCGTGTGAGAGCTTCAACCTCCAGAGACGCTGAAACCCTGGAACAACAAGAATCTCGCCTACAACAAAATCGTGTGAGAGCTTCAACCTCCAGAGATTCTGAAAATCCCGAACAACGCAACGAACGGCTTCGCACTAATCTATCACGATTGACCCATTCAAGAGAAAGAACACATTTAATGTTGGCGGCATACAATTATGACAAAAACAGAGACTACGAAAATCATGCAGATGTCGCCATTGGACCGATGAATAAAGTTTGTTTGCATTGCCATGCTTTGAAGTTTGCAAAGGAATCACCAGGAATGTGTTGATCAAATGGTAAAATAGTTTTGCCATCGTTAATTGAGGCACCTGAACCACTACTTAGTTACCTTTCTGGCACAACTCCTATTTCAAACCACTTTTTGAAAAACATACGCAAGTAAAACTCTTGCTTTCAAATGACTTCGTTTGGAGCAACGAAAATTATATCTGAAGGCGGTTACATGCCAACATTCAAAGTTCAAGGCCAAATATACCACAAAATCGGTTCATTGCTCGCAGTGCCACAACAAGATGCGAAATTTCTGCAAATTTATTTCACTGGAAATGATGCACTAGAAGTAGACAAGCGTTGCGCAATTAGTTCTGGGATCCGACGCGAAATTATTTCAAGCTTGCAGGCAATGTTCCATGAACAAAACAATTTGATTCGCCTTTTTAAAACAGCTCTGGATCAAATGCCATCAGATGACTATAGTGTTGTTATTAAAGCAGACAAAGCTCCTGCTGGTGAACATGAAAGGCGCTTCAATGCTCCAGTAACAGGGGATGTTGCAATTGTAATAGTTGGCACCGAATTCGATCGACGTGACATCATTATCCACCGGCGAAATGCTAATGTGCAGAGAGTATCGGAAACACATCGATCGTATGATGCACTCCAATATCCAGTGCTGCTTCCCCATGGAGAAGAAGGATATCATTTCAACTCAGGCAAGTCGACCCCAGCACAAGTGAAGCGACGACAAAGAAAGTGTCCTGCATGGATTATTATGCAAACCGCATTATGATTCGTGGAAATGAATCCAATCATATCTTAAAATGTCGTGAATTATTCCAACAGTTTATTGTGGACATGTACGCGAAAGTCGAAAGTGAACGTCTTCTTTTCATTCGCTTAAATCAAAAGAAGCTGCGCGTTGAAGAATACGTTCATTTACATGATGCAGTTGCTAATGATGGAGACATTGCTGACATTGGACAAATGGTAATTTTACCTGTAACATATACAGGAAGCCCGCGGCATATGCACGAATACGGGCAAGATGCTATGACGTACGTTCGAAAGTATGGACGACCAGACCTATTCATCACCTTCACTTGCAATCCATCGTGGAGTGAAATAACCGAATTGCTTTTTGCAGGCCAGAGCTCATTGCACAGACATGATCTTCTCGCTCGATAATTCAAGCAAAAGCTAATAAGTCTTATGAATGTCATCACGAAGAATTTTGTTTTTGGAGAAACCCGATGCTGGTTGTACTCAATTAAATGGCAAAAGAGAGACTTACCACACGCTCACATTTTGATTTGGTTGAAGCAAAAAATTATACCTACACAAATTGATAGCGTTATATCAGCCGAGCTTCCAAATCAAGCCGAAGATCCCATTCTTTTTGAAATAATCAAGAAAAATATGATTCATGGGCCATGCGGTACTTTAATCCTAATTTACCATGTATGCAAAACGGCAAATGCACAAAGCGATATCCACGTGAGTTGATTACTGAAACTCAAACTGGAGGTGATGGATATCCTCTGTATAGGCGAAGAAATCCCACTAATGGTGGATACACAACTACTATTAAGATGCGAAGTGTAGATATTGACATAGACAATAGATGGATCGTGCCATACTCGCCACTACTTTCAAAAATGTTTAATGCTCACATCAATGTTGAGTATTGTAATTCGGTAAAGTCCATAAAATATATTTGTAAATATGTTAACAAGGCAGTGACATGGCAGTATTCGGATTAGCAAATCGAGGTGATGAGATCACGCAATATCAAACAGGGCGCTACATCAGCAGTAACGAAGCAGTATGGCGGATATTTGCATTCAATATTCACGAACGATATCCAATGGTTCAACATCTCGCTGTTCATTTGGAAAATGGTCAGCGGGTTTACTTCACCGAAGAAAATGCGCAAAATAGAGCAGAGCAACCACAAAACACAACACTGACTGCTTTTTTCGAATTGTGTACATCCGAAAATTTTGCTAAAAGGTTGCTGTATCAAAATGTGCCCAAATATTATACTTGGAACACATCGACAAAAAAGTTCAACAGAAGAAAAAGAGGTGCAATTGTTCCAGAGCATCCTGGTATATATTCGTCCGATGCATTGGGACGTGTGTATACTGTTCATCCAAATAACGCCGAGTGCTATTATTTGCGGTTGTTGCTGCATACAATCAAAGGACCGACATCATTCCTTGCATTGAAAACCATCGACGAAGTAGAATGCCAAACGTACAGAGAAGCGTGCTTTAAACTGGGCTTACTTGAGAATGATCAGAATTGGAACACAACTCTGACCGAAGCATCACTCACGTGCCATCCAAAGCAAATACGAACTTTTTTTGCGATAATTTTAACAACATGCGCACCATCGAATCCTCGACAACTGTGGGAAATGCATCGTGGAAGCCTCAGTGAAGATATTCTAAGACAAGCACGTGCAAGCGATCCAAGTCAGGAATATTCGGATGACATTTTCAATGAAGCTTTAATATTAATGGAGGACTTATGCATGTCTATCAACAACAAAGCTCTTTGTCAACTCGGTATGCCAGCACCGACACGAGATAGAAATGCTGTACAAGACAGAGACTTGATGCGAGAACAGCAGTTTGATGCAAATCAGCTTGAACGATTTGCGCAAACGCAAAAAGAGTTTTTAGTTGCTGATCAGAAAAAAGCTTATGACAAAATCATGCAACGTGTAACCAAAGGAGATGGCGGAATTATCTTCCTAGATGCTCCAGGAGGTACCGGGAAAACTTTCCTCATCAATTTAATATTGGCGTCAGTTCGAATGCGAAATGGGATTGCAGTAGCAGTAGCATCATCGGGGATTGCATCAACACTACTTGATGGAGGACGTACAGCGTATTCAGCACTTAAGCTTCCATTGAATTTGCACCAGACCGAAACACCTACATGCAACATCAGCAAAAACTCTGGTATGGCCATAGTCCTTAAAACGTGCAAAATTATAATTTGGGACGAATGCACCATGGCACATAAGAAATCGCTCGAAGCACTTGACCGAACTCTGCGAGATTTTCGTGGAAAAGACCAACCGATGGGAGGCGCTCTTATACTTCTTGCAGGTGATTTTCGTCAAACATTACCCGTTATACCACGATCAACGCCTGCAGACGAGCTGAACGCGTGCTTAAAGGCATCGCATCTGTGGAACTATGTCGAAAAAATTACGCTCACAACAAATATGCGAGTGCATTTGCTGCAAGATACGTCTGCCCAAATATTTTCAAAGCAACTTTTAGATAGCGGAAACGGTAAAGTTCAGAGCATTCAAGACGTCATCGACAGAGTATTTCCGAACTTAACGATCAACTACCGAAATCCGGAATGGCTCCGCGAACGTGCAATTTTAGCTCCGAAGAACGACGATGTTAGTAAATTAAACGGTCAAATTCAATTGAAAATTCCAGGAGAAGCAGTCGAATATAAATCGATTGATACAGTAATGGACAAAGATCAAGCTGTTAATTACCCAACTGAATTTCTTAATTCTTTGGAGCCACCTGGAATGCCTCCTCATTCGTTGGCGTTAAAAGTTGGATCACCAGTGATGCTTATTCGGAACTTGAACGCGCCGAAACTGTGCAACGGAACCAGAGTGATAATAAAAAAATTAACACCGAATTTGATCGAGGCAACAATCATCAGCGGTAAATTCAAAGGCGAAGATGTGCTGATTCCACGTATACCGATGATTTCCAACGATTTACCGTTCGAATTCAAGCGGCTTCAATTCCCTTTGCGTCTTGCCTTTGCTATAACTATAAATAAAACACAAGGGCAATCATTAACTATTGCGGGTTTGGATTTGAAAAATTCGTGCTTTTCACATGGCCAATTATCCGTCGCCTGTTCACGAGTTGGGACACCACAAAATTTATATATTTACACACCAAATGAAAAAACTAAAAATATTGTTATCCCTTAGCATTAAAGTAAATAAAAAGGTATTCAATTTCAAATCTCTAAATACATGTGTTTTTCTTTGGCGGAGCAACACGCGCCGGGTATTCCTAGTATATAATAAAAATACATCCCGTTACCAAATTTCAATGGAATATCTGGAAAGCTAAGCGACTAGATTACATTCAACCAGACAGACCGAGGTACAGACGGTACTGGCTAAATCGGTTCAGCTCGTCGTCCTCATCATTTCGTAATGCATTTTCATGGATCTATCCCTTCTTCTTCTGAGATTTCGGCCTCATTTCGGCAGCTATTTGGGATTTCCTCGACATTTTTCACAGTTTTTATTAATAACTGTGCGTACGTCTTAGTTATTTTTTACGTTAAGCTGTGTGAAGGATTGAACTTTTTGGAATTAAAATGTTTGTTTTAGAAAAGTGAGGATTTCGATGGGATTTCATTGAAATCTGGGCTCGAATCGTGACTGAAGGGAACAAGTCAGCAATCGTACGAAAGAAAATTACGTGAACCGGCAGTCGTCTGAACACATTGGGATTATGACATACGAAAGTTAATGTATTGTAATTTGTTTGAAGTCGCGGTTGAATTGAAGGTAACAATAGTAATCGAATTGCATTTGTCGATTAATATTAGGGTTGCCAGACGTACTGCTTTTGGGAGTAAACGTACTCCTTTTTATTGTAATGTACTCCCTTGTACTACCAAAAAAAATATCTGGAAATGTACTAATTTCTTAGTTTTGTACTTCTTTTGTATTCCTTTTTCCAGCTATTAATATTTTATTATATACAGAGCGTAAAATAATAACTGTTGCACCGGTTTTATTGAAAAATAAAAGGGAACTTTATAGATTTTGCGAAAAAAGTAGTTAATTGTTAATTATCCACAGATTTTACTTACATGTTATTAATAAGTTTTTAAATTTTAACCTTCATTTGCGTTTACCAGCGGTAAACACTTTGAGAGAAAAGCTCAAGCGGCACGCAAGTCTTCGTCGGTTACTTTATTACATATCGTCACTAGACACGAATAAAGGCGCGAGCTCAAAAAATGACGGCGAAAAAAGACGAATAAAAAAACTTCAGCGTCAAAGACTCTTAACATACTTCGCCGAAGTTTTTCATAAGCATATTTTTTCGCAAAATTTTTTTACGGGCCTTTATTCGCCGTCAAAACACTAGCGCGCCTTTATTCGTGTGTAGTGACGATATCTTCTGTAACCATAGGCTAATTTCCTCCATTTGGCTCCTTTATACTCCGTCTTTTGTCCAACATAAAGCCTCATACTCAGCAATCGAAAAGACTCGGAACTGGTGACTAGGAGGCCATTCATTCGACCAACCCTATACCTATACAGTTTTCTTTTATACAAAATCTAAGAAAAAATACATCTGAAAAAAGCATGTACTTATCTCCCAAAGCTGGCAAATGGAAATAAGGATTAAAGTTTTAAAACTAATTAATAAAATTAAAGTAAACTATTTATAAAGTTTGCAAAAAATACTTTTTTCGAAAAATCTTTGCGACAGTTATTGTTATTACGCCCTGTACTTTGCCATTCATATTGTGGTAAACACTACTTAGTAAGTAAAGTTAAGTGTGATAGTGAAAAGGTGTAAGCATGGTCGTAGGCAGGTGGGTGCAGGGCGCTCGGGTATAAAAATCAGAAAAATTTTAAATTATAAAATAAAAAAATTGCCATACCTTCAGGAATAGCCTGAAATTCTTTTGTAGTATTTAACATTTATTGTTGCTTTGGAAAAGATTTCTATGATATCCGTGTTTGTTTGTACCTAAGTAATGGTAATTTGTAACAATAAATTGCACAAAAAAATTAAAACAAAAATTGTACTCCTTTTTTAAGTTCTGTACTGCTTTTTTTCTATCGAAAATAGAAATGTACTCCTTTCTCCGTTTCAGAATCTGGCAACCCTAGTTACTATAGACACCGAAATTTATTGTTCTTTTTTTTTTGAGAAAAACTAAAAAATTGAACGCAAAGCTGTAATTAGAAATTAGTTAAGTACGGGCTGAGTAGTTTTGGCAACCTATATCTAATTTTTGTACACGCAATTTCTGCTAAAATTTCCGAATATGGATGCTTCCTCAAATGTACCGCTTTTCTTACATTAACTGAAAAAAAGACGCATAGTGATCTATATTATATTGTTTGAGCTGATTTCTTTCGCAATTTCCTTAAATTCTTCTAATATTTTTCGGATTTCGTATGCATTCGATGGCTGTTTTGTGATCGAATGGCCATTCGAACGAACGAGATGAGCAGCACGTTCAAGTCTATTCTAATCCGAAATATGCAATTTAGAAAGTGGCCCGCAAGTGTCTTTATGTAGAGGGGGACATATGTGTTTTCACAGAACGAATGGGCGTTGCAATGCGAATGTTCCTTTGCTTACCATAAATGTATGAGTATAGTGTAAACTGATTTCTACGGCAATTAGTAATAGGCTTTGTTGGCCGACAGAGAAGATACAAATTTGTTTCTGCTTTATAGATCTTTCTACAAGGCTCGTTGAGGCATCCCGGATATATTACAATTTAGCATTTTTGAGCACCAAAATAATTTTTAACATTCATTCTTATATGCAACAATTACGGAAGCTCAGTAGTCTTATGTTTGACCTATTTTTCCCGTTCTTCTTCCTTATTGACGCTGCTAGGCGGATGCCTAAGTGATTTTCACAGAGACCAAAATAGCACGCCAGTCATTTCTCTTCTGTGCCAACTGACGCCAATTGGAAATGCCAAGTGACGCCAAGTCCTTCTCCACCTTCTTTCCAACGCAGAGAGGCCTTCCTCTGTTCGCTGCACTATGTCTATATCGCTGTACAGCTCATACAGCCCATCGTTATATTATCTGCGGTTTTCGCCATCGCCAATGCTTTAAGGTTCGTAATCTTTCGCAGAATCTTTCTCTCGAAAGCTCCAAGACCCGCTTCATCAGATGTTTCCATTGTCCATTGCTCTGACTATTTGTGTGATGGCGGGAGGTACTTCGCTTTGCCTTCGTTCACCACCAGAACAATTCGCTTTGCTTCTCTATCTAATCCCGAGAAGGCTGAACAGACGTGGCCCTTATTTTTACCGATAATGCCGATGTCGTCGGCACACACCAGCAAATTATCCCCTCTTGTAAAGTATTGCGCCTGAGGGGTTCAGTTCTGCGGTTCTTATTATCTTTTCCAACATTATATGAAAGAAATCACACGAAAGAGAGTCACTTTGTCTGACACCTCGTTTGGTATAAAACGGCTTGCAGAGGTCCTTCCCAATTCTGACGGAACTGATGGTATTGCTCAACGTCATTTTACATAGCCGTATTAACTTCGCAGGGATACCAAATTCAGACATCGCGGCATAAAGACAACTTCTTTTCGTGCCGTCGAAAGCGGCTTTGAAATCGACAAATAGATTGCGCCTGTCGATCCTATTCTCGCGGCTCTTTTCCAAGATTTGGCGTATTATGAATACTTGATCTATGGCGGATTTGCCAGGTCTAAAGCCACACTGATAAGGTCCAATCAGTTCGTTGACGGTGGGCTTCAGTCTTCCACACAATTTGCTCGATAAAAGTTTGTAACCTATGTATGCTTAGAAAACTGATCCCCCGGTAGTTGGCGCGTATGGCGTGGTCGCCTTTCTTGTGGATTTGGCAGAACACACTTAAATTCCAGTCGTCGGGCGTTCGTTCATCTGACCATATTCTGCATAAGAGTTGATGCATGCACCTCATCAGCTCCTCGCCACCGTAATTGAATAGCTCGACTGGCAGTCCGCAGGTCCAGCAGCTTTGTTGTTTTTCAGCCGCGTTATTGCTATTCGTACCTCGTCATAGTCAGGCGGTGCCGCATCGACTCCGTCATCATCGACTCGAGTTCGTCTTCTCCACTAATTTCAGTGCTGCTGCCATTCAATAGGGTGGAAAGGTTTTCCCTCCATAATTTAAGTATGTTCTAGAATGGGTATCAAGGTCGCCATGGTTGTTATTACAGGAGTTCCCCTGTGGGGCTATTCTCAAATGAGTTAGCTACAAATATCGTATCGCTATCTCAACCTTGCGACATTCATAACAAACTTCGGCATCTACCGATAGCGATCGGAAAATTGTGCTGACTCGTTTGAGAATAGCCACACTTGTCTTAAAACCTTCAGTAAGTCGCCTAACTCTCTGATAAAATTTTCGGGCGGTTTTCCTGTCGGCCAGCATTTTAAGCTCTTCGCTCTCAGGTATTTCGGTCTCTTCTTAGTGCGGCAAATACGTCTCGCTTCCCTCTTCAGCTCCCTATAACGGTCCCACATGGATCGCATGGTGCCCAATCGCAGCTAAATTGTATTTTTTAACTTAAGGAGAATGTACTTATACGTAAGAATAAATGTACATATAGACCATATGTAGTAGGCACGTTTTCTTAACATGAACTCTTTTTTCTTGTTTGAAAAGGTAGTCGGCTTTGAGCAATATTTTTTTATAAAGAAGAACTGGTTGAAAGATTGATACTCCATAAAACTAAAGTACCAAGGTAATGAGTGCGAGTAATGTGGACATTTTTAAACATAATTGTATATGCATGTGTGAATGTATTTAGTATTTATGTGTGAATAGACATACCCCTGTCGGGAGTTCCGTAGTCGACAACTAAAATAGCTAAAGTTTGGCCCACTTAATACGAAAACTTTTAACTGGTTTCAAATTCATGCAGGGCTCAACGGAGAAAATGTATGTGTACATTTTTTTATACCCGAGCGCACTTGTGCACAAGGGTATATTAATTTTGTTCACATAACGGTTGTTTGTAACAGCCAAAACGAATCGAGATAGATATAGACAAATGTATACATAAATGATCAGGATGAAAAAAGAAATCGATTAAGCC